GCTTTATCAGCTGCTGCATCTCATTCACTTTTTCTACTAGTAATGCTCTTTGCTGGTCACTCTCCTCCAACTGAAATAAAAAATATATCATCAACTGTGAACTGCCATAACTGGTTTCCATAAAGAAAGTAAATAGTCTCAAGTTTAATGGTAGAAAACAGCTGGTGTTCTCCTGCACCGATCCACACCACCATGTTGGATGTGGCAATCTTGATGTGGGTGTTATGAATATTCTCAAGCTTCTTGCTAAATGAACAAGGAGAAAGCCACATCTGCACTTTCATTGATACAACAAAAATTGCATTAATAAAATTCACTCACACATGATTTTTTAAATTATTTCCCCTATTCCGCCTTATGACATTTGGCTTTGTGCATACTAGTTGGCCTTATGGACAGCTCACTGCCGCACTACACTCAATGAAAGTAGAAGCCAATGTGTTTTCATGTGGCTGATGAAGGCAAGAGTAAGTTTCTAATGACAGGACATTGCCAATCAAAACCTACAACATTTTATAGTTTCAAAAGCTTGCTTGTTTAGAGCATTCACATTTATATTCTGTAACTTACTTTCAAGCATATCTCTTCAAACTGAATCTCAGGATCAGAGCGCTCCCGGTCTGAGTGAAGTGAATTCAGCTGCTGTGATACATCAGTACAATGCAGGATCAGCTCCTGCTCCCTCAGAGCAGCAGCACTAAGGTCTGCTTGAATTTTCACTCTCTCATCGTGAGATATCTGCAGGAGGCCTTGGAGCTGCTGTGCTTCCTCCTGATACTGAGCTTGGGCCGACAGCAGACTTTCCCTCTGACTCTGAACTGCAGACAACTCCTCGCTCAACTCACAAACCTGAGACAAAACACAATGAAGTCACATGACTACCCTTACATGCTACCCTCTATCGGACAATCTCCGAAGAGGTCTTACCTGCTTCATCAAGTTGTCAACCTTATGTGGAGTTTGAGATGAAGCCAGCTCCTCCAGCTGCACTCTGAGAGCTCCCTCTGCTTCACGAGATGCTGTAAGCTCTTCACTCAGAGTGGCCACTGTTCTCTCAAATTCCACACAGTCTATTAGATCTGGAAACAGAAAAAATCTTAAAACTCCAATTTAAGTGCATTGCAGACTGAGCGCAATTATACAGTCAAATGAATGTTTGGCAAGCAGAGCTTCATTATGTAAAGAGCCTGACTTTAAACCTACTTTTTGGGACTTTGCCATCAAGCAGATTAGTGAGCTTAGTGTTCTCATCAAATGTAACAGTCAGCTCTTTTTGGAGATCACTTTCCATTTTTCTGTAGCGTGACTTCTCAATTTCAAGTTGAGAACACAGGCTGTTAACCTCAGCTTCCATCTTCTCAAGGTTCGAAGTGAGGGTCACCTGAGAAGATCACAACAAAACACCAAATATAAAATACTGTTCAAGTGTCAATAATACACCTATAAAAAAACATACAAATGATTAATTCAGACACAAAGTTCCACATAGCTTGCCATGTAGTCAAAACTAAACATGAGATGAATGCCTGAACGCATACAATATGTCCTGTTATGGAATTTTCATAGACACTGTCTCTTGTCCTCTCTGGGGCAGAATGCAACAGGCTGTTGTGTTTTGGGAAGTGCGAGAGCTTGGCAAAGGTCAAAAGCCTTCACTCCCTAGACATCACAGATATGAGACTGCGTAAGCAGGCACTACTGTCTCCATAACTAGTAAATACATTTGATTGTTTAGGAACAAGCACACCCATTGGATTAAATGATCTGTTGGGGTTTAAAGTCTGACTGCAGGAAAGCAGACTTCAGAATATGAGAGAGCATCATGCACAGATGTTGTATTGATGAATTCAGATTTTCTCCTTGAAACGCTAGATCTCCCTCAGAGATAAGTGTTCAGGCATTCATCTCATGTTTAGGTTTTACTACATGGCAAGCTATGTGGAACTTTGTGTCTCTAACTCATTTGTATATTTTTTATTGTCATTGTGCTAGACAGGAAACCCAATATTAAAGCTCTTCCTACATTTTAACTACTTAATTGATTTAAGTTAATTCCACTTACCTTTATCTCCTCCAAAGTAATGTTTTGGCTGCGCAAGACAGCCCATTCCTTCTTTGTATCTCTGCTGACTCCCTCTGCATCATCCAGAGAGCGACGAAGCTTTGCCACCTCCTGCACAAGTTCCTCTCCGCTCTGAAAGGAGGCAACATGATAGAACTAACCTGCTTAATGACTGAGGTCACCTCATTAACTAATGTTCACTTCAACTGATTCCAGCTTTAATTAGCCCTTACACTTCAATAGACAAATTAGTTACTATAGTCATTATTGACGACAATAATCAACCTGCTTTTGGGTTCAGTTACAATATTTACTTGTAATAACAAACAATACACACACCATTCTCTGAAGTTGCTCCGCTGATTTTGTTTTCTTCAGTATCTCCTCAGACAGAGTATCTACCTTGTTCTAAACAAAAGAAAAACACAGATAGAACATTATACAGATTTAAGTTGTAATAATCATAGGAATCTTTTTTTTTCTTTTAGTATCTTAACAATAGTCAGCCAATAAAGATGTTACAACAAGTTGAGATAACGGGACCAATTACAATCTGTGATCTGGGTGCAGTATTCTCTTAACCCCAACACACAGCAACATTTGTTCCTTGTAATGTCATATGGAGCTGGAAAAACAATAGGCCTCATTCACTAACAGTGTGTACAAATCTGTGCTTAAACCGTGCGTACGAATGTTTGACACACAAATCTGGGATTCATCAATATGTTTTTACTCTGCGAACAAATTTAGAACTTCCTCAGATGTATGCTCAAATGATGGCCCAGCTGTCCTAGAAAATGTTAACATGCATCCTTTTAAGTAAATGTTTAGTATATTAAAACTCAATTTATCTAAATAAAAATAGTAGATAGACARCAAYAATTKAATTTACTAATGCATTGACCAAATGTATGAAGTACTATTAAATTGACGTACTTTCATCCTCATCTCTATCTCTGCTGATTTCACATTTATGTTTCTGGATAAACAGGGCATCGCTTCTTCTGCAACAGTGAAGTTAAAACACAATGTTGCTCATAATCTGTGGGAGGAATTCTTCTGTCTCAATTTTGTTCGGCACACCACTCTCTTCATGACAAATTGATGTCCTTAAATGGAGAAACAGAGGTGTGGCAGTATGCTAAACAACAGAGAGCGGACACGCGCCTGTCAATTTAGAATAATTCTGATTCACAAACATAAGCAAAGTGATGAGAATGCATTTATTTTCTGTGGAGAGTAAAAATATTTCTCCACACATGAGGAGTTAGTGAATGAGACCCAATGTGACCCTACAGTGAACCAGGGCTTTAAAGAGTGTCAGACTAAGCAATAAATACTGTTAATTGAGAAGAAAACATTATTCAGCTTTGAAGTACATTTTAAGCTACACTTGGATCACACAGAACAAATATGTTTCAAGATTAATTAAACCTGAGACAGAACATGTCATCTTACCTGAAGCTCCTGGCACTTGACTTCAGTCGATTCTATGACCTTCTTATAGCTAGATATTTCATTTTGCACCTCGAGCTGCAAGTTGACACAAACAAAATAATTGTATTAATTTAAGATCAAACAAGCAAAAAAGCGAAACCTCAAGTAACTCTATTGTCACCGGATCCAATGACAATAGGTGGAGTCTGACTTCACCTCCTGCTCTTTCTTGAACTCCTCCTCCAGAGATTTGAACTCATCCGTCTCCCTCTTTTCCTCCAGCTCCTGCGACAGAGCAGCTTTCTCCTTCTCCAGACGTTCTGTCTGCTCGATAAACATCCCCAACTCCTGCTTCAGATAGTCACGTTCAGCGACCACCATGTCCTGCAAACACACAGTCCATCAGTTCAAGCATCATAAAGCTATCACTCTTCACACATATTTCTCTAATCTTTTCTTCACTAGCAGTTTGAATACATCTTAATAATTTTGTTGTTGAAATAATACCCTTATTTTATGTTACCATTAGTGTAGAATCAGCAGTAACTGCACAAGTCACCCTTTTTAACCTAGTGTTTAAGTTCAGTTTAACAACAACAATACAATATATGCATTCTTTTTTCCATTCCCAGCAGTATAAAACATTATCACACAATTTTAAATAGACCATAGATGTTAATCAATAAATGGCCACTTAACAATATAAACAGAACCAAAGATGATTATTTAAAAAATGCCTTTCTACTCCATGTATGAGCAACGGGGGAGAAGGTATGTGGTATATGTAAAATGTGTGACACGTGTATGATGAGTTTGAGACTAAAGGGGCTGAGCCTCACTGGTCAACACACCTCATTGTATTAGGAGGGCTGTGACAGGATTCCAGCATTTAGTACATTCAGATTTCGGAACCTTAATGAATATTTAATTTGTCCCACACTTTTTAAATTCATATATTGTGGGTGGGAGGATGTGGTTTCAGTCATCTTTTAGTTATGCACTTCAAGGCTGCTGCAAGTAATATATTCAAAAAGGTAATTCTTGGTCCTCTCATCTATACCCTCAGGTAATACTGAGGGTATTAGAGTCAATGTGAGCTCTGGTGGGATATCTTACAGAAAAACTCCAAGGAGGGCAAGAAACAGCCCCTGTCCAAAACCCGTAACCAAATATGTATGGTTTCTCCTGTGTTAATTTTGAAACATCATGACTCACAAGTTATTATGATCTGAACAATACTGAAGTTTACTTTGTGTTTGTATTTGTTCAAGAGTTTGTGAGACACCTTTTTAAGCACACTAAAAGAAGAAGTCTGCCGTTTTGACCGGAACGATCAGGATTCGTCATTAGACACCATTGATTGATAACAAAATAATTGTGATTGTGTGATTAATTGTTTTTGTTTGTGTGAAGATGGGCAGACAAACATTCCAGACAGGAGAGAAGTTCTTCCTGCAGACTATGATGCAACGCAGTGTTTTAAATTCATTGTTGCAGAAGAAGCGACACACCGTTTATCCAGGAACACAAATGTGAATTTAGCAAGTTGTTATAATGATGAGTTCTAAATGTTAGTGATTAAGAGCAGAGGAGCCCTTTTTCTCCCTAATCTCTGTGAAGAGTAATGTACTTTATCTACCCATGACCTTTTTCATGTCATCTTAGGCTGATATATACATGTGGAAGAGATGGGAAACTAGAGTTTGTTCTTAAAGCCTAGATAAACTCTAATGACCTAGATAGACCTCCATTAGCCTGATCATTAATGAACTGATTTGATATCCGGGGCAATGTTACCTTTTTCCTCAACTAAATGATTCTAGATAAAGGCATGCTAATTCAATACTTTGTCCAGGTAACACCACTAAAAATTCATACAAAAAGATATATTAAAAGCATTTTCTCTTGTGTCATATGAAAACAAGCTATTGAGTAGAAAGTTTTGTTTATACTGACAGCAGATGGGCACAATGCATTTACCTTCTCTGAAGCAAGAGTTTCACACAGCTGGATGGTGTCTGCAAACTCTCTTCGAATCTGAAAAACAAGGGGAAAATTTGTACTGAACCAAGCCAACACAGCCCAGCCAGAGAAAATGAACACTAAAGAAATCTGTGTTAAGGTAAATCTCACTTGAGAGAGAGAGAGCAGGTATTTTCAAACACAGCACACCTGTTCGTTTTCAGTCAGACCATGTCTCTGTTCTTCCAGCTGTCTCTCCAGGTCTGCCACTCTCAATTCCAACATCAGCACCTTCTCCTTGGCCTCGAGCTTCTGCTGTGCTTCGCTTTGTTGCTGCTGCTCCATCTCTGCTGCCCTCTTTTCTGATGTGTCTACTTTCTCCAAGGCTTCCTGTTTCTGCTGGGCCTCTGTTTGCAGTTGCAGCTCCAGCTCTGCAACTCTGCCTTCCAATGATTCGACTTTAGTCATGGCCTCCTCTTTCCCTGAAAAGTCACGCATCCAGTCTGGGGAGGTATAGTCTTTGGGACTGGTAAAGAGATACAACATACAGATAATATTATGTTATGATATCAATCTGTCAATTTAGGAAGCACAAGTGATTATGAATCAATGTTACTTTTGTGCAAAGGAGAAACAGGAGGAGCACTGCCAGAGCCCTACAAAACAACCTCCAGAGACAGACCATCTCTCAGTCTGTCAGCCGCTGACTATGACATGGAGGCCTGTGCGACAGGATATGCCTCCCCACACCATCAGTGATCTACTGCCAAACCAGTCATCCTGGACGATATTACAGAAAGCTCTCAACTGAGAAGACAATGTGTGCCACTTCTCGTGTTCTCTGGGGAATCAAGCTGCACAATGCTGAGCACAGTCCCACTAGAGGACGTCAGGCCCTCATGCCACCCTCATGGAGAGACATGCACACCAGTAGCCTGGTGGTTAAAGCCCTTCTACAGCCCTATCTAGTTCTCCTGGTATGTCCTCCATGCTCTTGAGACTGTGCTGGGAGACACAGCAAACCTTCTCGCTAACGCACATATGGATGTCTCCTCCTGGAGGAGCATGACTACTTGTGCAACCTGATTGGGCTGACACAAACTAGAGAGGAATCAGTCAGGAAGGATGAGAGTGCAACTGTGGCCACAACATATAAAACCATTACCTTTTTGGGTGTTGTCTTGCTTTTGCCTTACCATTGCACCTGCTGTCACTTTCATTTGTACCAAAGCAGTTGAAATTGTTTCGCAATCACTTGAGCTACCTAAATTGACAAATTGATATCCCTGAAGTTGAACTGATTTAGTGTTATACTGTGATGATTAATTGTTCCCTTAATTTTTTCATGAGGCAAGTGTTAAGGTCATGCCAGTCCTAATAATCTGTTACTAAAACAAAGGAAAACTTCATGATGTCATAAATCATGCTCTATAGGTATAAAACAGGGGTTATATTAGCTGTCTTGAGATAACAACTAATCTAACTGTTGGCAGAAACACATTTACCTGTCCCCAAAGCTTCGCACAGTCACAGAGCTTTGACTGATTTCCATGTCATCTGATGGCTCATCAGGAATCTCCCAGTTAGCTTCAAATTCCTCGTCATCTGTTAAAATNGGTTTCTATGTGAAGAAAACGAAGAGGGATTAAATCCACCACGTTCTTGTAGAAACCTTAATTCATTTAGATTTAAATATGAATTAGTTCTAATTCAGCTCAGTCATCAGTGGTGGATGGTAACTCATGGGAAACATGTGAGCTGGTGTGTGACTCACTGATTCAGACACGAGGTCAAGAGGGAGGGGGCGCTGATAAAGACGAGCAAGGTTTTTTTATTTATTTCTATTTCATATAAACTGTGTTCTGGATTTAGATTTCGTGAGACAGACACGTATCCGCAGTGAAGAGTGTGAAAAATGTTGACGGTACAGTAAAGTGTCGGGCCGCGTGCTGCAGACGTGTTTTGCATCAACCCTGACCATCTTCTCACCACATCCTGACCAGCAGAGCATGACAGAGCATCGGTCTGCCCAGATGAATGATGAGGTCTTTTCTTGAGGTTACTTCCTTTTTCTTGTATCGTCAAATAACTAGAACCTGACAGCGGGGGGAGGGGGGCATGAAGAAATTGACAGGTTTCAAGGAAACACTGTTCAGCCCCGCCCATTGGAAAACATGAAGTCACAGTTTCCATCATACAATGACATTTCTCCTCCTATCTGTGCTCATCACTCTTGTTATTACTAATTATTTATCTGAGAAGTGTAATTAAAACTCCTGTATCTGCCAACGAGGCGTTTTTGTTTTGTCGTCTGTTAGTTTGCAGGATTAACGACTGGACAGATCATCACGAAACTTGGACATCTGGCTGTCTGTCTGTGTGGATGGTAACAACTTTATGGATGAGTGAGGAGTAAAACACTGCCCACAGCTATGAACTGCATCAACAGATAGATAGATAGATGGATAGATAGATAGATAGATAGATAGATAGATAGATAGATAGATAGATAGATAGATAGATAGATGGATAGATGGATAGATACTTTATGAATCCCGGAGGAAATTTAAGCATCCAGTGGCAGAAACATACATTGAACATACATTAGACTTGACTTGTGCATTAGAGTTAACTTATAACACAGTCACCATACGCAGAAATTGGCCTAAGATGAATGTAAATTTAAATGTGTACAGAGGAATTAAGGAAATTAAATTAAATTAAATTAAACAATTGAAGCAAAATTAAACTTTTACAGAGAAATTAAACATTTGTATAGGATTTCAATATATACAGAGGAATTAAAAATGTGCAGGAATATTAAAWATTTGCAGAAAATGTGCATAGAAAATAAATAAAAAACAGTGTTAAGTTAACCCGTGCTAATCGTCTATACAAAAACTATATAGAAACTAGAAGGTAACTATAGGAATAAAAATGTTTTATACATCTATAAACTACTAAAAATATAAAGTGACCGTAGAAGATAAATGGGGAAGAAATGGGGATAAAGGACTGTGTGCAATTAAATTAGGCTGTACACAGATGAATGAAATGAGACATGGCAATGACAGAGTCAAGGAAGTTGTGCAGAGAGATAAGTCCATTGACTATTGTGCCTCCTGCCATCACTGAGAGCTGTTGTACAGTCTGATGGCGAGGGGGACGAAAGAGATCTTAATTCTGTTTGTGGAACAGGATTGAGACAGCAGTCTGCCACTGAACACACTCCTCTTCCTGATGAATGTGTTGTGCAGAGGGTGGTGGGCGTTGTCCAGTGTGGACAGCAGTTTGTCCAGGGTCCTTTTCTCTGCCACTGTTACCTGAGAGTCCAGCTCTGTGCCCACCACTTAGCCAGCTCTCCTCACCAGTCGGGCAGAGTCCCTCTTCTCGCTGCTTCCTCCCCAGCAAACCACAGCGTAGAAGAGAACGCTGGCCACCACAGACTGGTAAAACATCTGCAGCAGTTTTTTGCAGATGTTGAAGGACCCCAGCCTTCTCAGGAAATACAGACGGCTCTGTCCTTTCCTGTGGAGAGTGTCCATGTTTGCTGTCCAGTCTAACCTGTCATCCAGCTGCAGCCCCAGATATTTATTAACTGCACTAACTAGCACAGTGCCTGTTCTAAACCTGCCTGTTTGAAAAGGGCTGTTTGCTTGGCTTGAGGTAATGATCAAAGCCTGCTTCAGAGTTATTCTTTGTCATTAGTTAGGCAGTTGTGGCTAAGCAGTAGAGTGGTCATCCTCTAACCAGAAGGTTGTGGTTTGAGCCCAGTCTTCCCCATCTGCATGGCGAAGTGTTCTCGGGAAAGATACTGAACCCCTGATTTCCCCCTCATGCTGGCCGCAGATGCACTGTATGAATGTGTGTGAATGGCAAGTAACTATGGCGCATTGAGTGGTCGTCAAGACTAGAAAAGCCCTTTGTAAATACAGACCATTTAGTGAGTCCTCCGTAAAATGAAACTGATGTGGCATATATAAAAGTTTGAAAGATGATTACTTTTTCCAGTGATAGAATGTCAATTATATCAGAGATTTGTTAAGCATCGACACAATCTTCAGACCATGTCAATAACTTTTTAAAATGAAAGCTCTGTAACTGCACCCAAGTCTATCTGTATCAGTCCAATGCCGTAAAAAAAAACAATTATCAAAATGAAATGAAAATACAATTTTGACTCGCAGTTTGACCCTGTTACTGACCACTGCTGATTCATAATCTGACACTGTTGATAAATAACAAAATAAATTTGATGTTCTTGTGTGAAGAGTGACAGTGGGAAGAACTCCACTCCTTTCTTTTAGAATGTGTGTGCGTATCTGCAGAGACACACTTACAGCACACCAGCAAATGCCAGGTTTGAGATGCTTTCCACAAATAGTTTTCTGGAATTACAAGATAGATGTTTTCCTACTCACCTTCAGTCAGCTCCATAAGGCAGGAGCGATCAGCTTTCCTCTTACGAGTGAAAGATTCTGCAAAGCTTAGGTTAGATGAATCACCACAGGCAGATGAAGTTGCAAGTCTGAGCATCTTTCCTCCCCATGTAACTCTGCGCTTAGGCATCTTAAAAACAAATTGATATGACTTGATAACATCAAGAAATTTTAAGTCCAACAACAGCCTGATTTTGTGACATAAGATACCTTTTTAACAGGAACCTGGTTGGTGCTGGTGACAAGTAGTTTGGTCAGGTTTTTGATTCTGTCCTCTTGTTCTCTCTGGAGACTATCTTTTTCTTGAAGCAGTTGGGAGAGAACCTCCTTCTCAGTCACTGTAGTCTGTGTCACTGAAGATACCTGTAGCATGTCATTCTCAGGTCAGTCATAGAAATCACAGAGATGGGCCCAACAATACACTAACAAAGAAAAACAAAAAGTGATCACACTCGCCTCGTGAAGTCGTCGCTTCAGGTCAACAATTTCATTGCGATACCTTTTGAGCAGAGCTCCGTCATCAGACACCTCTGTCACGTGGGGGTCGTTCTTCATTTTCTTTGCAGTGCTGGCAAACTAATAATAATGAACAGCTTCTTGTAAATTGTCTGCTTTGCTCTGCTTCATGTAAGCTCTAATGCTTCATATTTTCTCATATAACACTAACACGTGGACATTTCTAGATGTTAGAGGTAAATTCAGCTGAGGCAAAGCTGCAATGTCTCAATCTTCATTAATATACAGCAGAAAGGAGCAGACCCTCTAAAACACACTACACAACCACATTTCATATTACTTCATAAAAGCTCAACATTAAAATCTCATGTAGTAGTTTTAGAAGTCTACCAACCTGTAAAGTGCTGAGGGTCTCATCTAGAGTGACAGGAGTGATGGTACAGATGATGACCGTTTTGGCGTTACCACCCAAGGAGTTCTGCAGGATGCGGGTTAGCTTACTGTCTCTGTAGTTTGTGAAACCCCTGAAGCCAGAGAATAATATTTAGCAAATCTCAGCAATTTAAAATTTATAATTAAGACAAAGAAGCATATAATAACAATGTTTAAAGTTGGTTTCTTTTTGCTCCCATCATTTTCCTTTGTGTTAATATTGTTAACAATTATTCCCATCTAGACAGGAATCATATGCGCATATTTCCCAAAATGTTGAAGTATTGCTGGAA